CAATTAGAATGCATCAATTCTTCTGTCTTCCTTTATTTATTCGCTAGTTTTAACATGTACATAAAGTGACTAAAAAAAAGGCCAAGGTGTACTTTAGTTATCAAAAGACAGCTCTGCCTTTTAGAAACGGATGGTTTGATGTTGGCTGTGGAAACACTGAGTTTCACAATTCCTGGGCGCATTTCCCCTTAGTGATGATAATGCCAGTTGAGAACCTCCTTCCTCCTGTCCTAATTATTGTGACTTCCAGACTGACGGGCTCAGAAGCAAACATGACTTCCAGGGTGAGGATGAGAGATTTGAGTGTTCATTACAGGGAAGGTATGATCTGGCTAACTGCTGTGGAGCAGCCAAGAAGAGACCGAAAAGCACCAGGCAAAGGCGCTAGAGAACTGTTTCAGCCACAGACCCAACGGTTACCCTCTGATAAAACTTTCCTAATCCCATGTGGCAGTTCCCTGTAGGAAAACTGCCGGACTGGCATCAGAGTTAGGGTAAGACTGAGAAAAACTGGATAAATTAGGTTTACTGCATTGAAACAGATGAGGGAGAGAACGGTTTAAAAGCGATATATGATTGGGTATTATGGTTATCACAAGAGTCCAGAGTGAACTGTGTACTGGGGTGGTGGTGTACTGGGGTGGTGGTGGGGAGGGAGCGGGGATTGTATACCAATGAAGGAATTTAGGAATTTTTCTTTTACTTTTCAAAGAGAAGAGCAAACTGGGGGGGAGGGGTGGGCAGGGGAAAAAGTGCAACAGTGAATGAACGGAAATCCAAAATCTCTGTAAATGTTCATGAAAATTAATAAAATAAAAATTTTAAAAAATTTAAAGCTTGCAGAGAAAAAAGGGGGGGGGGAAATTCAAAATCTCTATGAGCAATTCCAAAATTGACATTCTTTTAAAAATAAAATGAATGAAAAGAGGGAAAAAAAAAAAAAAGAATACGCCGGGGACTCCACTGTGTGGGCTGTGCTTGCCTCCGGAGACTCTTAGGGCTTTGCCTTCTGATAGGAGGGGCTTTGTCTCCTGGTGGGAGGGGCCTCCTCCTGCCCACCGAGTGACAGTTCTGAAGGCTCTAGTGAGTGAAAAGCAGGTACCCTCATGCCATGGGCTAGGTTAGGGGTGCACCTCATTATTATGTCAGGGGGTTAGGTCCTGGGCCCAAGGGCTCAGGCTTGACCAAAATGGCCCTGTTGCTAGCAAAATTCTTAAGTCTTCAGTTCCATGCTGCCAGGACCACAGCCCCTCCAGGAGTTCAGTGTGGATGTTCCCAGGGGTCCCGAAACCTTCTGTGTGTACATGAAGGAGGACGGCAGAGCTCAGTAAAGATTCTCATCAGATTTCCTGCCTCCACGAATTAAAATGGTGCTGGCATTCCATCTCCATCCCGCAAGGATGGCAAGGAAATCAGGATTGCCACCTGTCTTCCTAACAGAACAGTGCAAAGAGAGGTGAGGAAATGGAAGCCCAGACATTAGCCCACCTTCTCCTGAGTGTGACACTCCTTCTGAAGACTAAGTAGTAGCAAGCTAAGGACACCCATTTCAGAGGCCATGGCCATCGTCAGCCCTGACTGCAGGGAAACTAGACCATGGACAATTTACATGACTGTTCCAGTCATCTGAACTGGCAACAGCCAGCATGGTCATCGAGCCTGGTCACAGGGTCTGGCTGCCACTGGCTGCTGCACTTTTTCTGGACAGTGTTGCTACTGTGATTACGGATTCAAGACCAGGCACCTCTGTCCTCACCAGGTGTGAACGCTCCAGCACCCAAGACTGCCCGGCCTCACACACATGGCCATTCTTCAACGTGACACTGACGCAGGCTTGTTCTTTTGTTCTGCTGACAGTCCACAGCCCACATACACCAAGTGGAGATGTCCGGGTGTCAGAGTCAGCAGACACAAACCCCAAATTCATTTCACCTAGACAACTGGCACTGAACTATCTCTGCTCCTCTGAATCCTGGCAATCTCAGTGCATCAGGCTGAGTGCATCCAGGACTCAGTGCACCCAGGAGTGGTGAGTGAGGCCAAGGGATCGCAGGTATCATGTAGCTAGGGGGTCATGGCGCTTCAATGGTAAGGTTGTCCTGGGCCCATCCCTTGTAGATAGCTTAGGGTCATCTGGGTTGATGCTGCCTGAACCTTGGGGCCCTGTCTCGTCCCCAGCATCCCTGTGGTCCTGCAGGAAAATGTGGATACAGAGGCAGGTGGTTTCCAAAGCTGGGAAGATGACAGACACAATCACCACAAGGCCCCGCTAAAAGTCCAGAGTCTTGGGCCCCACCCCAGCCTGCTGGACCTTTCTAGGGCTGGATCTAGCATCTACACTAATCACTCATTTAAACAGAAAGTGTTTGGAAGCAGGAGTGGCATCTACTTCCTAAACAACATACCTCCGGAAACTCTATGAATTTTGATAAATTATGATAGTTATAGAAAGGCTTCAGGCCTTTTATTCATAGGGTCACTACGAGTCATGCTCAATTCGACAGCAATCAACAATGACAATCTCTATCTGGTCCAGCCATTTGGGATGAAGGGTCCATTGGATTTTGGCTGAGCTCCAAGAGTGAAGAGCTGATACCCTAGGTGTGCAGGGCCAGGACTCCCCTAGGCCAACCAGTCCTGCAAGATGAACAGATTAGAGGACAAACTGGAAGCCAGGATTTCAGGCATTTGGATCCACCTTGAGGGCTGGACCCCAAGGTGGTTTCATGTCTATTATTAGAAACAAGTTGGGGATGGTCCTATCGATTTGGCTGAATTGGCTTCCAGCAGAACTTGGATAGAGGATTCCTGGTGTCCTGAGCCTACTGAGGTCATAGGGCAGGACTGGGGCTAACAAAAGATCACACCAGGCTTCAGGTAACAGGGCTGGTGGTTTCTGATCAAGGCTGAGGCAACAATCTGGGGCTTCAATGTCTTCAATGTCTATCCAGTACGTATCTCCCCTTCCTGTCAAAGACACAGGGTCATGCCAGTTGAGGGTCCAGGGGGGACACATACTCACACCAAGACAGAAGGATTGGGTGACAGGTGCCATCCCAAAGGGAGTGCTACTGTGTCCCGTCATGATGACCTCATGGTCAAGGGGTTGAGGATAGGGAGGGCCAGAAAAGCAACCCCAGCAGAGTCAAGCTTCCAGGCACTGGGGTGAGGAGCACCAATGCGGAGTGAGTCTCAGGGTTCCAGAGTATGAGGTCTCCACGAGCTTCTTTTAAGGATCACAGCACAGTTCCACCTTTGGGGAGCCCCCAGGCACACAGGCCTCTGTGAACACAGGTAGTGGGGTACTTGGTGAAGTTGTTGTGATACAGGATGGAGCTGGAAGTGACTCATAGCTGACCCTCAAGCAGGTTTTCAGAGGGAGTAAATCACACAGGCTGAGCAGCTGGTGGCTGCATACCTTTCGGTTGACAGCACAACTCCTTACCACCAGGCCCCGTGAACTCCCACTTGGTATATAAGGGATCTGATATCTGTTGTTGTTTATTTTAAATGGCAGCTTCATTTGAATTGAAAATTCTGATTTTTTTCAGATGAACTCTTTTGGGCCTGTTTTAGCCAATGGGTAACTGGATGCTCCGAGTTAGCCAATCAATACAACAGTGTTAAGAGTGTCAATTGCCACAGAGTAGGAGAGAATATGTCACAAGCACAATTGCATGTTTCTCCTATTAAATCACTGATACTTTCCAAATACAAGTCACTCTAGATTTTTAATTGTTTTTAAACATCTGATTAGCCTTTTTTCCTTTACGCCTTAAAGTCATACATAATTTGTAGCTATTTGCTTCTCTGCAACAAAACATTAAACATAATTTAAAATAGAAACACTTATACAAAATCACAGTAAAAAAGAAAATAAAAATACAGATCAGAGTCATATAAGTGGAGGTTATGTCTACCCTGAAGATGAAGCAAGATAGGTAAGAAAACAGAGCATTAAATTTGCTCTGAGATTCCTGGCAGCCAAAGTGTAAAGAGAAAGAGGTCTTGTTGCTGGAGAAAAGGAAGCTTCTCATTGATTGGCCTTTAAATACTGAACAGCAGTCCTCCTATCCTTGGTAAAGAGCCGCTTTGGAGATCAGTGAATAGAAAAACAAGGCACAGTAGTGACTTAGACGGGCCTTGCCGCGGACAGGCACAGAATGAATGGCAGAAAAGGAGGACTACATTTGTCTGGCCGCTGACATTAATACCTTAATGAACTACACTGGGTGTTCCCCAGGTTCTTCTCCATACTTTGGCGTATTGTTTTTCCTCTCACCAAATTGGAATATTGGCACAATTCTCTCTCTTACCAAACATTTTGAGATTAGACAGTCAAAGGTGCAGAAAAGTTAGTATAAGTTACATATTCTACTCACCTTTCTAGGAAACCCTGGTCTGGTATAGTATTTCCCAAACTGATGAGATACTATTGCTTTGCTCCAAAAAGAAGGTTCTGGGGTCAAATATATTCAGGAAATTTTAGGTAAACAAAGGTTAACCAGTTCCTCCCTGTAGGACTAACCAGTGTCTTTAAGTGACAAATCTACACAGAAAACCTGGAAGGGGGAAAAGTCACATATTTATGGGCCATATACTCTTTCTTCTCTGAGTGTGTATTAACATCTGAATATCATGTGGAAGAGGCTTGCAGAGTGGAAAGAAAACAGAATTTCGTGACAAATGACTTGACTCTATGTCTCAACTGAACCAATTACTGTGTCACCATGGGGCAGTCTTTCAGTCTCTAAGCTTCAGGTTCCTCACCCATTAAATGAGTCTGAAGGTAAATTATCGGACTGTAAAGGTCTTGTAATGATGGATGTAGTATGCAAAGGTACTTTCGAAGGATAAAGACAACAGCAGCAATGGTCATCACCAACCACTGTATCAAAGGAATAGAAAAAATGTAAGTCACAACCTGCTACAAAAGTGAAGGTGGTGGGATCGGGGCTTTCTTGAAGACTCAGGAGGTGGTGCCAGGGTTCTGGCAGGCACTAGGGTGCAGAGCTGATGGGATCCTTGGAGATAGGGGTACTGGGCAGAGACTTCAGATACTCTAAGTGCCTCCGGGCATCCTCCTGGTTCTGGCGCACATAGTACACAACATAGGCAATCACCATGGCAAACCAGCCAAACATGGTGACCAGCATGGCTACATCAGTGGTCCTGTGGTGGGCATTGCAGAAGCTGACACCAGCATCAAGGGCCTGGATCAGGGGCTTCCCCACAAACTCCTCCCGCACAGAGGTGTGACAAGCAATAGCATCCGCAGAGTCGGGGTCCAGATGCAGTCCCCACAGGGCCTCCTGCAGGGCACACTCACAGTGCAGAGGATTATGTGACAGGCGGACTTGAGCACTGAGCTTGCCCAGGGCTTCTTTGGGGATCCTGCGGATGCGGTTATGGGACAGGTCCAGCAGCCGCAATCCCCCAGCCAGGCCAGCAAAGGTTGCTGGACCAATGGTCTCAATGGCATTCCCAGACAAGTCCAGTTCCTTCAGCTGGCTCAGATGTTGAAAAGCTCCATCTGGAATGCGAGCAATCTGGTTGGCATCGAGCTTCAGGAGCACGGTGTCAGTAGGGATGTCCTTGGGGACCTCCCGCAGGCCACTGGCACTGCAGTGCACAGCCACTGCCCCTGCGTGCTCTGGACACTGACAGCCCTGCGGACAAGCGGCTCCTAAAGGCAGACAAAAGAGGAGAAGGAGGCAAGGCCCACTCCTGGGGACCTGCAGCGACCAGGGGCTCTGCCTGCCCAGGAGTGCCATCCTGCCTTGGGCCAGTCCTGCCATCTGCATTCCTTCTTAATACCTAGGCAGGTGGCCAGATCTGTGAGCAGTGTCCCTGGAAGACATAAACGCTCTTCTCCTTTCGTGCCAAGGAAAACTAGGCACTTTCTAGGTTCTAAGAGAGAAAAGGAAACAGTGAGGGAGAGGAAGGGAGCTATCAGCATTGCTAATATGGACAGTTGGGACTGGGAACCTTAACAGAAAACTCTAAAGTTAAGCAGATAGATGCCTAGTGAGGGGAGGGAGGGGAGGATGACAGGTGCCACCCTTCAGACCGGTCCTAAAACTTAATGTAGACTCCCAAAGGAACCATAGGAGCGGTTCAAGACAAAGGACAGTCTCACGCTGACTCCGGGCTAGGCACACTCACTGCACGGATGGAGGAACCCAGGCTCAGCCCACGTAGGCTGAGGGAGCATTCAGGGGATACGGACAGATCCCAATCCCGCGCCCAGTCACCCTGCCCTGGCTCCTCCAGGAAGCCTGGCGGTTCTCCCGAGAGCTCCAGGAATGCCATGTCAGACTGGATCACTCAACGACTTGGAGGGAGGGAGAACACACACCACCGCTGAGAGGGGGCTTTGCTTAACGAAAGCGTAATTCCTTGCTAATTCTGACAATCTTTTAAAAATGATAATTTTTAAAAACCTCTCTTCCAATCCAGGGTCCAGATCTAATGGCAGCAATTACGAGGACCCAGGCAAGGGGGTTATGGCCTATTATTTCAATTATGCTCAGGAGGGAAAAAAGGAAAGCCAAGCTAGGTTGGAAGTGGCAGGGCCGCGCGGGAGCGAAAGAGCGGGTGTCTCGGACTTGTGACCCGCATATATAGGGTGGGTTAAGGGGCGAGGGGCGGAGGCTTTACCTGGACCGCGGCAGGCAAACGCTAGCCTGCAACGTTGCTTCCCCGGGAACCAGCCGGTTCCGCGCCACGCCCGACGCGCGGCGAGGCCAGAAGACCCTGCGCCCAAGCGCGGAGCCACAAGCGGACACGCGCGCTTATAGGCGGGGCAGATGGGCGGATCAAGGCCCTGGAGGGGTGGGGCCTACAAAGGGGCGGGGACTGAGAGGGGTAGGATATGCTGAAGGCGGAGAGGTGGAGCTGTATGAGCTGGGAAGGGACCTCAGAGCAAGCCAGGGCAGATGAATGAATAAATACAGCAGGTTATGTGGAAAAGCAAAAAGGAGCCTGAGGAGGCAGATGTCAATGGGAGGGATGGGGCATTTGGGGCGAAGAGGAGAGGGATTAGACTCCAAATGAGAGGCTAGGGGATGGCTTTGTGGGCGGGGCCTTGGGTGGGGCGGGGGCGGGGCCTAATAGGAACGGGGCGGGAACTGAGGGCGGGTCCAACAGAAGCAACTTGTTAGGGGCGGGGCTAGAGGTGCTAGGACCTGGAGGGTGAGGAGAGGGGCAGGGCATGGGACAAAAGATGCAAAGTTGGGGGAAATGACAGCCTTTTAACATATGATGCAGGCAAAATTGGAAAACTATCTGCAGAAAACTCAAGCAAGATCCACACCTCACTCTATACACAAAAACCAACTCAAAGTGGATCATGGACCTAGGACTAAAACCAAGGACTATAAACTTCAATAAGAAAATCATGGAAGAACCCTAGAAGTCCTAATCCACAACATAAACAGTCTTCCAAGCATCTTGAAAAATCTACAACCAGGAGAGGATAAAATAGATGAAAGGGACCTTCAAAGAATCAAATCCCTATGCACATCCAAAAACTTCTCCAACAGGATTAAAAGGGAAGCCACAGTTTGGGAAAAAATATTTGGTAATGAAATGTGCAAGGAGTTGGAGTCAGAAAATCAAAAGGGCAGAACTCGCTCAGCATTTCTTAAGCTCAAGGAACTGAAGAACAAATTCAAATCTCAAGTTGCTATAATCAAGGAGGCTTTAGGCAGAATATTAAATGATCCAGGAAGTATTAAGAGAAGATGGTAAGAATATACTGAATCACTGTATCGGAAGGAATTGGCAGACACAGAAGAATTTCATGAAACAATATATGAGCAAGAGCCTATGGGGATGAAAGAAG